TGCTGATTCCGATTTTTTGTCAGTACGATGATTTCCAGCATCGAAAAACAATGCTTACCTAACCCTTTAGTCTCGATAAATCCTTTACTACTTTAAATTCTGAATCATCACATTGACCTTAAAATAAAGCTGCTATAATTGTATAATTTTATGAGATCAACATTTCATCAATTTATTCCCAATTAGCTCAGGTGAGCATTTTGGCCAATATGCTTTTTTTATCTATTTTTTTTTTTTTTTTTTTTTTTGCCCCCTAAAAATTCCAGCTTTAATCCACAGGGAGTCATTTTTCTACGGGGGTCATTTTTCTTCACGTGGGTTCTGCAAATTTTTAGGGTGGTGACACTTTTTCTACGGGCAAAAGGGTCATTTTTCGACGTCGAATAATGACCGGGGGTCATTTTTCGCTGTCGAAAAATGACCCCCGGTCATTATTCGATGGGGGTCATTATTCGTCTTTACACCGGCACATATTTAATTTGGTCTTCCTTAGCAAAATATGGACACTGCCATTCTTTCTTTAATATTGAAGGGTATCCATCTCTTATCTGCAACTTCCCACAAACCACTGAATAAAATTTAATGAGAGTTTTTCGGGCTATAAAGCATCACCATATTCTGAAATAGTCTTTGATATGAATAAATGTTTCTTAAGTCTTTCTTTATGTTTCATGCGTATAAATTTAATCATATAATTATATTTGTAAAAAACAATGTTTCAGTTGTAAAGCAAATCAAAATCGCTGGGGAAAGTAAGCATTTTTGTTGCTTTTTGTCTATAAACATATGCTCCCCACCCCACCCCCCGAAACTTAAAAGGAATTTTTGTTTCACTGGGGGCGGGGGGTAGAAATATTTTCCGTTTTCTGTTGATTTCTATAGTGAAAAAACTCCAGTTTTACCAAAATGTTAGAGTTATTTCTTGTTGTTTTCCCAGATAAGAAATGTGTTATGAAAATCCATATAAATATCAATACAAATATTAAAAATCATTCGAATACTCTTTACTTTTGAAAATCAACTTGGAGGCACTATCAGGTGCTATGGAGGAGTGAGCATCCCCTGTCGACCGGTCACAACCGCCGTGTGCTCCTTATCATGATTCATGATGATTGGAACATAACGGAAAAAATCTGTCTACAATACAATGTGTAAATGATGGCATAACCATTAGTATCAAAAACTCCATTCAATATTTGACATAATGATAAATTGTATTTGCTGACAAAGGTCATTGTATCGACCATAGAATTTACTAAAATGATGACTTTAAGCGAGATTGCTGTGATTCTTGTTTCAGCAACTTGTTTGTCAATAATTTAACTCGTTTTAGAAACTTCAAATCTAAAAATGATGAATGAGTTCATTTACATGAATCAATGATCAAAATGGAGATGAGAATAATTAATAAATGATGAAAATATATGCATATGGCATTAAAAAAGTAAATGAAAGAAAAAAATAAAATCCTCAACAAAATTATAAATTCAAAACAATTTAAAAAATTATGAACAATTGATTGTAGATGAGATGATGACTGATAATAGATTGATGATATTATGTTGATGATGATGTGTGATGAACTGTTAATTTTGTGATAATTATGATGTGTTATGATGATGACAATATGATGATGATGGATAGTAGTGATGATGATTTTTATGTATATGCGATGATGATTAAGGGGTGATGAGCTGATGATGATATGATGATAAGGATAATGTGTGATGACGATACAATATGACGATGATGTGATGCTATAGTGATGATAATTTTGAAGTGGTGATGATGATGATGAAGTCTTGTTGTCTCTAACAGTTCTATATTTCCACAAATTAATTCACATCGTTAAACTTGATCATAAAGAAGTCCCCCCCGGATCACGCTGACCCAGCAGTTTCTTTAGCTTTGTGGTTGTCCTCTCAACAAAGTTCGATCATCTAAACCGGAATGTAGAGCTTAGCGTCTGTGGTAGAGGGTCCTTGCTCAGGGCCAAGAAAGCTTTGGTGTTACTGAGGCGGCGCTGAAATCTTTTGATCTAAATGATAAAGATTGAAGTTTTAAAAGCAATTCAAATTCAAATCAGTAAGAAAAAATGTATAATATTTTAATAATAATAATGCTCTAACTAATTCAAAATCGTTATCTCCCTTGTAAATACATTAACTTACATTAATAGTTTCATCATTGTCTTCTAAGATCCTTTGATAATTTTCAAACTACTTTTACTGAGCCTAAAAATAAAAAAAATATGTATTATGCGAATAATTTATGTGGCTTTTTTTCAAATGCGAGATATATCGTATGAGAAATACAATATATTATTTTTTTAAAGTTTGATCTTTCTTTAATACTAATATATGATTTATTAAAATCGTGTAGTAGTGTCCATAAATGTTTTCCTGTTTTAAATGTTTAAAAAGTAGGCCACCAAGAATTTAAAAATAAAGTTTGAAGATCGAGTAAAAAGTTTAAAATGTTCAATTAAATTTTGAATTTGCTTACACATAGACCTGAATTAATTTGAAATCGCAATTCGCATGAAAACCGACAACTTATACATTTTCCTAATTCAATTTTTACATAGCCCTCTATTGCACTAAAATCCGTTTGTAATTCACAATGTATACTGGCCTTTTCTGTAATATTTAGAGTATAAATAACGTAACACTTTTGGCCAGGTTCAGAACGTGTTGGTCCCACATTCTTTGAAGAGTACACAAGTCTGTCGTCGTAATGGAATTCTTTTTCAAATCCCTCATAAATAAGTAGGAGAACAAAATGTACTTAAGCTTCTTCTGTTGATCTATAAAGAAATGATAAATCTAAAATAGCAAATATATGCACAATGCCACAATAAATGATTATAAAAAGCGTTCAGTGGTATTAGAATAAAGACCATTGATTCAGTCATGTACACGTAAAAAATTATGGAAAAAGTGAGATCGATACATAATAAATAAATCTCACCAGAGATGTCTGTGACGCTGGAATAGGAAGACCAAACGTGTTTGCTTGTAGTCTCTTTACCGTATAGAAAAATTAACATTTGAAGAATATATAGAGGATATTCGATGTTTTGTAGTTGAATATGGAATTATTTCACGAGTGGGACAGGATTTTTGATATTTTCACGAGTGCGAAGCACGAGTGAAAATATCAAAAAAAATCCTGTCTCACGAGTGAAATAAATTCCATATTCAATTACAACACATTGAATTTTCTGTTTATTACATTTTTAAACAAAAATCTTTGATTTTTCCTTTGCCTCTGTCTTTTTGTAATACAATAATAGGCTACATGACGTCATAGTTGAGCGGTTGAGACGTCATAGCTAATTGAGGTGAAAACGTTGTAAACACGGATTTAGCAACATATTTTTTGTAATTTTGGCAATTTATTCTCCTATTGAATGGTTTATTTATTTCTATCTATCTTATATTATGTCAAGAAAGCTTTTTTACAACAATCTTCGTTATGGGAAGGGAAATCGAGAGTTTTCCCGCACTTCTGATATTCGTCACACTGTGACAGCATGCGCGGATCTAGAGGGGGGGTCGGGGGGTGGGGGGGTCAGGACCCCCCTGGAATTTCCACGGTTAAAAATGTATATATTAAAGCAAGAGAAAAGTCACCTTGGATCCCCCCTGGAAAACGGTGACCCCCCTGGTGAACATGAATATGTGTGAAATGGGCATGAAAAGTGAAAGATTTGAGGCAATAGAAGTCATAAACTACCCCCCCCCCCCCCCCCCACGAAATAGGTTTTTCACGTTTGGGCGAGTTAAAGTTTTTTTTTTTTTTTTTTTTTTTTGCTTGTCTAGAAATTTCTGGGATTGGAATTTTTTTTTGACTGGGTGGACCCCCCCCCCTGGAAAAAATTTCTGGATCCGCGCCTGGACAGGATATCATTTTGATATCCTTTCACACTGTGACAGAATATCATTTTTATTCAATGAATAAATTACAGTATTTCACGGGTAAAAATGTAATAAAATTATTTTCTCTGAAAAAAATAAATCAAAAAATGTTAAGCCATCTTTCATCATTGGGCCAGTTTTTTTTTATCATTCTTCTGATAGAATTTCATTCCCTAACCCGAAATTAATTAATATCTACAATCACTGTGAATGAAAAATACAGTGATATCGTTTATAGTTATCTTAGAAAACATCAGAAAACATATCAACAAATAAAAAAAATTACCAACAGGCGTCAATTGTCGTCCTTGAGTTTCCATTTATGCAATCAAGGAATCTCCTCTGATAAAGTCTTCGTTTGCTAAACTCAAGAATGGTTTGCAACCTTTGTGACGCCAATATATTATGACGCATAGTTATTATGACGTCATCAAAAGCAGTTGAAGCTGCGACTGAAGTATTCCGTCAACTTTTTTGTTCGTATTCAGAATCATTTGCAGCGGTATTTTCATTTAATTTATTTTATGTTTTCATATACATGTATGATATAATACCCAAAATTATGATCCCCCTTGTAACATGTGTAATGAAAACACATCAACATCATCAAAATGCAAGCTTTTTCTGCATGACATGTGTGGATTTAGAAGGGGGATTCGGGTTCTGACCCACCTTCCTCTAAATGTTGCAGTGTTTTAAATAAAAAGACAATAAACCATTCCCCACATGGTTCCACGTCTGTTCCAAACTTCTTTCAGTACATGAACCTTTTTTTTTTTCAAAACCCTGCTCTGCACATGATGCATTAACATGCAATAAAACAACAAGCTCAGTATATTTACATTGAAGCTGAAACCCATTGTTTATAATCACTACATTCATTGCTAAGTATATTTGCATTTATCGTTGTCATTGTCTTATTTATTTATTTTTTTTTTTTATTTATTTATTTTTTTTTTTTTTTTTGCGTTGATCTGAATTTATCCGATCCTGGAAATTCAGGCCATTCAGAACCGCCTCTGAAGAGCCAAAAGTTGCACAAAACTCGCAAAACTCCAAAAGAAAAAAGTACAGTGTTCACAAAGGTTTTAGTCGACCGGTCTAAGTTGATCATATTGGTAATTGTCATATTTTAGGCACTGTATCTAATGAGTACTGGAATATTTTGTATATGTAATGGACATGATGCGAACTTCTATTTTTTGTTCTACTTTCACAGCCGATAACGTTAGAAATAGAAATATTGCATGCAAATCAGCAGTAATATAAGGCCTAAAACTTTTAAACTGTTAAAATGTTTCTAATTCTGTTTTATATATTCCATGTACATGATGAAATGGTTTCAGTATAATTTTGTATATAGAGTGTTGTCATGGTTACCAAAATGGAATTGTTTATTTGTGAAAAATATGGAGATAGCAAACAGTAGAATTCAAGATCAAAAGTCTATGAAATAATACAAAATAGGAGCAGAACAAACAAGGACCTCCAAACAGAGGTGGGATCAGGTGCCATGTAGGAGTGAGCATACCCTGCCCACCAGTCACACCCGCCATGTGCTCCTTGTCATGAAATACTTTCAAAATGCATCTACATCCTCTAGGCTCATGCATGTAACTACTTACTTGTAGTACAATTATAGGCTTATAGACTATACAAAGACATGTAAGTCGGTTTTCTTAATTTCAATGAACAGTGTTGCCTTGGTTACTAAAAAAATCATTAAAATACTTTCTAAAACCAACACCTCCTACAGTTTTGGTCTGATCTTAGGCTTGTCCTAACGGTCACACTGAAAAACATATTACTACTTTTTGATATTAGGGGAAAACGCAGAACTTTGCACACAAGTAGACCTCACTATACATAAGTCTGATTTGGGGTTTTTAATTTAGATCAAGATAGTTGCCATGGTTACTAAACATGCTAAAATAGAATTTTCTCTGAAATATCTACTCATGCTGTCTATCATTTTTTGGTCTGTTTTCTTTTCATATTTAAATTGGCACACATGCAGTTAAAATAAAGATACATCTCAGTGATTTAGATGTTCAGTGTTGCCATGGTTACTAAAATATCTGTATAATACTTTCAACACACTAGCTACTGCCTCTTCAGTTAAGTTTAGGTCTGATTTCTATATTACCTGGCACACTAGAAGACTGCTCTAAGAAATAAATTCTAAAATAAATACTAGGTTTTTCATTTTATTGAATGATATTGCCGTGGTCACAAAAAATAACATTTTTCCTTAGAGAATGGGCTAAAAGTAAAATCCCAACCAGACAGCTATGAACTTTATCTGCGAAATAAGCCAGCAAACAAACAATTTTATATACTGAATAGCCTTCAAATCCCTACATGGCTGGGAAAAAAAATGTGTAATTTAATCCATCCCACTCATTATCAAATTGCAGGGACAACCTACATACACCTTAGAATAAAAAAATGACAAACTTCAGAACCATGCCAAGCTACTTTCCCGATTTCTGCCCGCACATAGAACCCTGTGAACTGTTACTCATACTAATGGCAAGTGTTTTAATGTACATATGACACATTAAACAATTCTAATGGTGAAAATTCCAGTATCCATAGAATAAGTAATCTTTCAGCTTTATTTTGCATTTAACTCTCATATCAGTGCAATAATTCTGCTTGTCAATGATTGCATGTAGTTGTACCATTTTGACAAGTAATTTCTGCAATTCCAGTTTTCTAAAGTGATGACTATTGTCTGATAAAATTCATACTGTATACATGTCTTACAGGTCCTAAAGATTCAATTGTTTTTAATATTGGAAAGGTTAGAGAAGTTTGTTTGATATATTTTGGGGAGAAAAATTAGGCTTATCTTTGAAAATCAATTGAGAGGTCTTGTAAATAAAGTGAACTAAATCAGAACTGCAAACAAACTTCTTTAGCTTTTACAAATGTTGTTTAAAATTTAGACATGTTAGATCTTGGTAAAATGAATAACAAATTAGGTACATGTAATTTATGAAGAGTTTGTTTATTTAGGTGAGTGTAGTCCTATATGTCATTTCTATTGCAAAGAGAGGAACACTTTCGAACAAACGGACAAGGACAAAACTATCACAACAACGGGATACCAGCACAGAGAAAGGGGACCAGCACACAACAGCACAGCGTTTTACTACAACTATGGATTGTGAAAAATTCAGTCGCTTACTCCAGTCTGAAAATTTGGGAGAATTTGCAGATTCTCTGTTTAAGACTGATGATTGTCAAAGCAAGGAGGAGGATGCTTCCAAGAATTCACTAAAACCAAGAGTGGAGACTTCGAGACTCAAAGGGAAATGTAAACAAACACAGACCTTGTCAGAAATGACTGACCAGCAGTTAGAGCAGTACAAACATTCACCCGAGACGGAGCTGGCAGATCTAGTATGTAGTGCCTGCAAGACAGACAACTTCTCAGAGCTCAAGGATTATCTAGAGGTACACACCTACATATAATTATTTCACCTTTAAAATTCCCTTTTTTTCCTCGATAGCAAAAATATTAGATTTCGAAAAATTCAGGGCCAGAAGGGCTATTAACAACAGTTACAAGGAAGTGTTTTGCTGTGGGTGGCATAGAAGCTCTGCAGGTCTGTCAATATTTTTTTGGAGAGCTTGCAGTTCTGTAGCTATGAAGCTATACATGTACCGGGGTAAATTTTGAAGATGGGGTGATATTTTGTGGCCTGGCTGTTGTGGTGTTCTATTTTGTAATCTGTGAAGATGATATATTTATAAGTTGTGGCTATATTTGATAGATTGTGGTGATGTTTTGTAGGTTGTGGTAGCTGTTGACCCTTCAGTGATTAACGAAACAGACAGTGCAGGGATGACGGCCCTTCATTTCGCCGTGTCCTGTAAACATGTAAGGATTTCTATTTATGCCTTAATTCAAACAATAAGTAATAAACTATGAAAAAGAAAGTGTGGTTTGTTTTATCATATCATTTTGCAAAATGTGAACTAAAATTCTTGCTTACAAATTGTATATTAAGTCAATTTTTGCGCTGCCTACTGAATACCCATCTTCACTAGCCAAGGGTTTCCGATCCAAATTCTACTCGGACTATATTTTGGAATCAGAGACCCTTGGCTAGGGAAGATGCTGAATACCATGTTTCTTGCACTGTAAAATCCATGATCCCTTAGATTTACACAAATGCAGTATATAGGGCAAGTTTTTACAATAAGTTATATAGTAGTAGTTGATGTACTTTAGCTGCATGTAGTAAGCATGCTGATGAAATACGGTGCTGATATAAGAATCCCTGATGGACTTGGGTTCACTCCCTTGTTTCTGACCACAGGTATATATCGTTAATTGCATTTCTGTTAATTGCATGTCATTGATAACTTTTTGATTTCTTAATAGGTATTGTTAATGGTGTTTTTAAGACTTTTTAGCTCTACTGGTCAGAGACCAGAAGAGCTTATGCGATAGTAATGCGTCCGGCGTCCGTCCGTCTGTCCGTCTGTCTGTCTGTCCGTCTGTCCGTCTGTCTGTAAACAATTTTTCAAAATGCTACTCCTCCTACAGTTTTGGTCTAATTTTAATATAACTTGGCACACAAGTAGACTACACTAAGATACATAATTCTGTGTATCGGTTTTTGATTTCGATGAACGGTGTTGCCGTGGTTACTAAAAATAGAAATTTCTGTGAAATTCTTTCAAAATGCTACTCCTCCTACAATTTTGGTCTGATTTCAATATACTTGGCACACAAGTAGACTACACTAAGATACATAATTCTGTGTATCGGTTTTTGATTTGGATGAACGGTGTTGCCGTGGTTACTAAAAATAGAAATTTCTGTGAAATTCTTTCAAAATGCTACTCCTCCTACAGTTTTGATCTGATTTCAGTATAAGTTGGCAAACAAGTAGAATACACTAAGATACATAATTCTGTGTATCGGTTTTTGATTTCGATGAACAGTGTTGCCGTGGTTACTAAAAATAGAAATTTCTGTGAAATTCTTTCAAAATGCTACTCCTCCTACAGTTTTGGTCTGATTTCAGTATAATTTGGCACAAAAGTAGAATACACTAAGTTACATAATTCTGTGTATCGGTTTTCGATTTGGATGAACGGTGTTGCCGTGGTTACTAAAAATAGAAATTTCTGTAAAATTGTTTCAAAATGCTACTCCTCCTACAGTTTTGGTCTGATTTCAGTATAACTTGGCACACAAGTAGACTACACTAAGATACATAATTCTGTGCATCGGTTTTTGATTTGGATGAAGGGTGTTGCCGTGGTTACTAAAAATAGAAATTTCTGTGAAATTCTTTCAAAATGCTACTCCTCCTACAGTTTTGGTCTGATTTCAGTATAACTTGGCAAACAAGTAGAATACACTAAGATACATAATTCTGTTTATCGGTTTTTGATTTCGATGAATGGTGTTGCCGTGGTTACTAAAAATAGAAATATCTGTAAAATTGTTTCAAAATGCTACTCCTCCTACAGTTTTGTCTGATTTCAGTATTACTTGGCACACAAGTAGAATACACTAAGATACATAATTCTGTGTATTGAATTTTAATTTTGATGAACGGTGTTCAGTGGTTACTAAAAATAGAAATGTCTGTAAAATTGTTTCAAAATGCTACTCCTCCTACAGTTTCGGTCTGATTTCAGTATAACTTGGCACACAAGTAGACTGCACTAAGAACATAAAGAGACTTTATCAACGATCATTATTCTATTTAATGCTGTTTATAAAGTTTCAAATCCCAGCTGCTTAAGCACTTTCTCTTCCTTTGCTATAAGTTCAAACCAGTAGAGCTTCAGTCTCGACAGAGACTTCTGGTTTTTTAAGTCTTATCATTAAGGCAGTCTGATACTTGTTTCAGTGATTTGATTTTTATGCCACAAATCGATTGCTTCAGTAAAAGCACCCGTTACCAATTTTACTTTGTTAAACAAGTTTTATGCATTTTATTTTTTTTTTATGAGGTTATGTTCATACTAAATGTTCATTAGTACTAACAGCTAATAGGTGGAGGGAAATAGGACAGTTCAAGTAATTTTTGCAATTTCTAGATTATGATCAAATGTTCATTGAGTGTGGTAATATTTTGAAAATCTTTAAAATCAGAATTTTTCCTCAAGTAGTTTTCATTTGCTTAACTTTTTTAATTTAGCTGAGGTATCTTTTCCAGAGGGTTATAATTCTGTGGGATCACACTTTTCTAATCAATCTGCGAATAGAAAATTATGTGGATTTCTTCAATTAAAAGTAGTTGTATACAGTGCTCATCAATTTTATTTGAGCAAGAGCAGACAATTGGTCATTGGTCTTTCTTTTATTTAATTTTACAGGGCGTTATCCATGTGAAAAAGTGACTGAGTTTCTGCTAAAGAGCTGTAAAGTTTCCGATGTCAACCACCAGACCAAAACTGGGGCCACGCCCCTCCACGGGGCAGCTCTACAGGGAAATCTGGGTCAGTATCCCTCTAGTATGATAGCTGATCTCTTGTTTAGGTTAAATGAGAAGAATGTATAAAGTGTAAAAATATGATGTATCATCACTGAATGGGGCAGCTCTACAGGGAAATCTGGATTCATATCCTTCTGGTATGATTTTGATTAAATGAAAATGGAACTGTGATACATGTATCATCACCGAAAAATATTTCCACAGAATCGAACTTCAAATTAATTGAAATACATTTATACATTTTAGATATGTTACAGTAAAACTCGTTTATAACAAAGTCACTTGGACCTATGAAATTACTTTGCTATATCCATAATACATTATACCCGTAAAAGGAATTCGTTAAATTTATATAGCTGGAAATCCAAGATAAATTTGCTATATCCTTGAATTCGCAATATCCATGTTTGTACTAATTGAGTTTTACTGTATCATTGCATAAAATTTTCCATGTTTGTACTAATTAAGATTTACTGTATCATTGCATAAAAATTTTTAAGTACCTTATGATTACAGCTTGCATGATGTCAGTCAGTGTTTCAATTTATCACTGATTCTTAATATGAAAATAAATTGTGACATCAGGTTGTATCAAGTTGCTGCTGGAACATGGAGCTGACCCCAAGCTGGAGGATGAAGATGGCACCACAGCCCTGGAACTGGCCAAGGATAGTGCAACAAAAGCAGTCCTACACATGTACCTAATCCAGTCAGATATCAAACGGGATACAGTTGGTAAGAACTGGTGTACCTAATCCTGTCAGGTGTGACACGGGATACTGTTAGTAAGAACACTCCAGTCTGATATCAAACGGGATACTGTTAGTAAGAACACAAGTACTTAATCCAGTGAGATATCAAACAGGATACTGTTGGTAGGAACTCATACGTTTAATCCAGTCTGATATCAAACGGGACACTGTCGGTAAGAACAAATGTGTACCTAATCCAGTCAGATATCAAACAAGATACTGTTGGTAAGAACTGGTGTACATAATCCAGTCCAATAATTAACAGGATACTGTTAGTAAGAACACAAGTACTGAATCCAGTCAGATATCAAAGAAGATACTGTTAGTAAGAGCAATCCAGTCCGATATCAAACGGGATACTGTTAGTAAGAGCATATGTACTCAATCCAGTCAGATATCAAACAGGATACTGTTAGTAAGAACACATGTACTGAATCCAGTCAGATATTAAACCGGATACTGTCAGTAGGAACTCATACATTTAATCCAGTCAGATATAAAACTCTAGCTCTTAACCTATTCAGACACCAAACAGGATACTGTTGTGTATGTAAGAACTTGTGCAATTAATCCATTCAGATTTCAAACAGGATACTATTAGTAAGAACACTCTAGTCAGATATCAAACAGGATACTGTTAGTAAGAACACATGTACTTAATCCAGTCAGATATCAAATGGGATGCTGTCGGTAGGAACTCATACACTTAATCCAGTCAAATATCAAACGGGATACTGTCAGTAAGAACTCTAGCTCTTAACCCATTCTGATATCAAACAGGATACTGTTTTGTATGTATAAGAACTTGTGCAATTCTGCTTAATCCAGACAGATATCAAATGGGATACTTGTAAGAAGTCATGCACTTCAATCTTCATCTTCTAAGATACCAATTAGGACACTATTTGTTAGAAAGAATGCACTTCATCCAGTTAGATATCAATTGGGAAATCATTTTCAAGAAAAGAGTTCTGCACTTCACCCATGCAGTTAGAATACCTGGTTGTTTTTGGCAAAGAATTGAGTGAATTGAGAAAAGGTTGCATTCTGCAAATATTTATTTCCTGACAAATTAAAGTTTGTTCAAGGTTGTATGCCTGTATATGTAAAAACAGTAAAAGTTTGTTTCTTTCAATCCTTGCATATTTCAGATACCTGAATTTTTAACCTGTAACATGATAAATACAGTAAAATGTATTGATACTGTTGAATTTTGTTGAAGATGCTGTATGTGTGCAATGTAAACAGATTCCAAAGGAAGGTCTAAAGCGCTGTGGGGCTTGTCATGTGACCATGTACTGTGGCAAGGCGTGTCAGGTTCGTCATTGGCGGGAGGGCGGACACAAGAGAAACTGTCCAGGTCAGTCAAAGTCCGACAATAGGAAAGCTCAAGTACTGTACAGCAGGAAGTAAATGGGGGGAGGGGACTTTGCTGTATTAAATACTTGTAGTTAATTCATTATGAACCTATTCACTGTAACTGTGTTTCACTGTAATCAGCTTTCTTTGCTCCCTAGTCAGTACAATATATTTGAAGCCAAGTGTTAATGTATTTTCAATGTAAGCTTGGTGTATTCTAGACCGTAAAGATAAGTACGTACTGTGTATGATATAAATACTCATCTTTTGGACAGGATCTGTGATTGCCAGACCATTCCGTGTGGGGGAGGACCCAAGCCAAAACTGTGTCCAGGTGTCATTTTACAGGGTCATGGGGTCAAACAAACCAAATGTCAAGGTCTTCAAAAGGACAGCAAAGGATGCTATCCAGAAAATGAAATTCATAGAGAAGAAGAGATTTGTGGTCAAAGTTCAGCTGCCTTTAAATGCAGTGGGTAAGGCAAAGGTTTTGTTTTACAGTGAAATAATGCAGAATTACACATTTAAATTTTGATTTAACAAAGCTTGAATTCCTCCACTAACATTTATTTAGTATTTAATAAGATCCTTTCTAGATTTCAGTATTTTTAAGCTGTTTACATTATACTAGAAAATGACCCAGACCTATAATTTTATAGCAATAGTTGCAAAGGAAAATGTTAATTAATATCTTTGAAATTCACAGTATTTGAAGTAACCAATGGCATGCCTGCATTCAGTTGTTATTAAAGCACTTCCTTTTCAAGCTTCATATTAGACCATTTTAGTAAATATATTTTGATGATGACTCCTTCTCAAAAATCAAACACAAAATTAACTTGTTTGTAAGATTTTGAAACTGTTCGTCATTGAATAATTACAAGTGTACTTTGATCCCTTTAAAATAAAATGTCTTAAACTTTGAGTAGGTAGCTAGAGAGTTAAGAGACACTGTGATGCACAAAGGGGAAAATAGACAAATGTAGAATTTTTGCGTGACCCGTGTATATTTTGTTCAATTTCCAAACGTATTAGGTTTCAGAAAATTACAGGTTTCAGAACCTTAAAATTCTATTTTTGTGGAGAAAAATAAAAGTAAAAATAATTTCAGTATGCCCCATAACGAAAATATTGCAAAATACTCTGGTACTTCTTCCTCCCTATTGTACACGTGTCAGAAAAGTTGAATAAGTTTCCATAGTTACCATGGTCTAAAGTATCCACGAATGAATGTTAGTAGACCAAATATTTTGATGAATCTCATAAAAAGTTGTTTGAACATATTCTCACCTTTGCATGCTCCAGTTGAATGTTGTTTACAAGTTTGAACTAAAGATAAAAGTGGCCTGACCTTGACATACACGAAACAACAAAACAGTAGATACATGCAACCTTTGTTTTTCCGGCACATATATTGTGCAGTCTTTCTTGCAGTTTAATTGTCATATCTTAGCTATATACTCATAATTTTCATAAGTCTTTCTCTATATGCTACAGATATCTTAAAAGAAAGACATGATTTTGACTCGTGTCCTTATAATAGGAATAAAAAATGTCATGGAAGATTGAAGATGGAATATGCTGCAATAACATGATTTTGATAATCTAACACTTTACTTCAAATTTTTGCAAAAATACCTGTTGCATTTATGCAAATTATCACATAAGCAAAGAGTTTGATCACATAATAGAACCAAAAAATGAAATAATAAATGTGATAAAATACTTTTTTCAGGTAACAGTGAGATGATGGTTTACAATGCTGACAGAACTGTTGAAGGATATGTCTATCCTAATGAACCAGGTATATCTAATACTGTGCATTTAATAGAGATTTTAATTGAGACATTGATTTTTTACACCAAATTTGACACAAATGTTGACTTTAGAGATACATCTCCTATATATTTGCGACACCTTGATGAGATTTACATTAAAATTTACTCTTTATTAACAACTCAAAATGTTCATGAATTATGGTAATTTGCCTTATATAATCTTTAGGAATTAGTGGAATACTAATATATACATGAGAATGATATTTTTATGAGCACACTACACTGTATCTCTCCTAATTATGCAAATGAACTTTTTGCAAATGAAAATTTAGTAATTTAAGAACAGTATTCTTTTTTTTTTTAATTACATATGTAACACAATTCTCATCTTAAATTAAATTGAAGACAGTAACTAAGAAGACATCCAAATGTGGTGAAACTTAATGTGTAGACTATATAACCTTGAACTTATGGAGTTCACTGATTCAATGTAAAAGTTGTACAAGAGCTGTTTAATTATGTAAATAATTTTTTTGTTAGGGCCCCGCAAGGATTTGCGGGTGCCCTATAGTAATCACTCTGTCTGTCTGTCCGTCTGTCTTCTGTCATTCTTCCGTCCACAAATTTTCTGTTTTTTCCTAATAACTTTTTTTATTGTAGTCCAATTAAGTTCAAATTTGGTATGGTAGTTCAGTAGGCAAAAAGACATATTTTGATGCCAAGTTTGTTTCTCTATGTCCTCTGGTTTGGAGCTGGGGTGGTGGGGTAGATTTCTTAACTTTATATAAGAATGAATTGGCAAAGAGAGATAACTTCTGAAAATGTTCCCATTGTAAACTGAATACTGGCAATGAATGAGTCCCTTGGGATTAATTAGCTTTTCTCCTGAAGAAAATCCAAAGCATTATCTTTATCTGTCACATTGAGATTAATTACCACCTCTGTCTGCAAATGAAGTTTGTTTTGAAGTTAAGTCCATTTGGAATGCTATGAACACTCTGAAATGTTGATTGAAGTATAAATGTTTTTACTTTATTTTTGTTGAAATACCCTACACAATGAGTTCTGATTTCATTAAGTTCTAAAAACAAGAAATAGATTAAAGAAGACATATTTTTTTTTATTTTTTTTATTACTTTATTTATTTTATTTTGTTTTTTTGCTTCATGAAAATTCAAGAATATTAATTTTTAAGGCAGTAGGATAAAAACCTCATTCTATCATTACTGAAAAAGTTCTTATTATAAATTAAGAAGAAGATGATGAGAGAGAAGTACAATTAATCCCTTGGGATTAATTATCTAGTTCTGCTGCAGAAAATTTAGAAGGCTTATCTTTATCTTTCTCTTTAAGATTAATGAAAACCTTTGTCTGCAACTGCTGTTTGTTTTGAAGTTAAGGTCAGGCCTTCATGATATGTATTTGCATTCATTTAAGGCTGGCATTTTATATAACACAAGCTTCATTATTGTTTAGATATAATTCAGTGTTGAGTTGTTCTTTACTGCTTTATGTAAAATAAATAGAAGGATATTATTTACAGGTTTTTGGATATTCAGGAATTATCTTGAAATTTTAAGAATACAGTTGCTGTTTCTTATTCGTCATATATTTTTTAATCATTCCATAAGCTGCACCCTTATAATTCTACCCCATGGCGGGGCCCTTGCTGACTGGTCAGTTTTCTAGTTTAATCAGAATTGATCTTGGAATATGTAGAGTTCATATGACTACAATCTCATCAGATTTATGTTGGTTGATCTTTTTTATTAAAGTCATTTTTTTACCAATTTCATATACAGGGTATTCAAACCTGCAGAAAAAGATTCAGGTAGATGGATATCGTGGAATTAAGGCGTTTTTCTGGGCGGAACTGACAGATAAAAATGATGGAACCTTCCGCATCTTTGGTGGAAAATGTGCTCCCTACCAGACTTGGTGAAACAATGGCTAAGGGTAGTAATACTCCTTGTTGACCAGGGATCGACAGAATATTAAAACTTGTATTACCAATAATTAGACGTCAGCTAAAGGTGATGTGCTTTATACTCACAGTCTTATGTCAATTTTGGAGGTCACAATCCTTTTCACCTAATAGTGAAAGATTTTGAGTTAAATGAAAAAAAATTCAATTGTTATGTAATTGAAAAGTAGCTTGATATAATTTAAAAAGAATGTGACTAGTTTGAATGATGCATATTTTTGGAAATTATTTTTTGAATAATGCAAAGTAGCAGTTTGGAGAGCAGTGCTTTATTTTTTTACTCTGATTTTTTCTTATTTATTTCTATTACAAATTTCTAGATCATATCTTTTTTTTATTTATGGTTATTTATAGGAATCATTTGATATAAGAGTTACTATTATAATTATTTGTAATTTTTTGATGATTGTTAATTTTTTTCTATAAATTTAAAAAAGATTTGTTAATAGAAAATAGCCCATAAAGAATGGGTATGGCTTACCAAAGTTAAATTTTTTAATGCAGAATTGAATTCTGTGAGTCTGTGTTTCTTCCCATTTCTAAGATAATACTTAATAAAGTCTTGTTGAAAAAATATTGAGTTTGTATTTATTTTTTTGAGAGTTATTAAATTTACCGTCAATTGTCCTGGTATACATGTACAGTAAAAACAGTCTAATCCAATGCCTGAATAATCCGACACAATGTGAATTCCGACGTTTAATTTCTTTCCCATTTAACTATTTTCCATGTTTTTAACTCTGAGCAATCCGACACCCTGTCTATTCTGACACAAAATTTGTCTCTCAGTGCATGTCAGGTTTGACAGGTTTCACTGTCTTACAATAAAGTTTGTGTTCTGATGACAGTTAGGCCCAGCATCCAAATGTTTGCTCTAGATTTGAGGAGAAGGAGTTGATCCTTACGTCGTGGATTTGAATCATACATCAGGATGTTGAAACTGATCCTTTGGATAAAACTATATAAACTGAGGTCCCATGTCACAGTAGATGCTGGCATGAAAAAACTGTCTTCACTGCTTCATGGTCCTGAGTGCCAATTTAAGGTGCATTTTTTAATTTGCAGCTCTCCATGGCATGTGGTGACATCTCCATAAGAGGGACATTAAACATCAAAATGTGAGTTTCCAATGATTATCATTGTGTTTATTAAATATTTGAAAGATGGAGTACTAAATTCATAAAGGATGAGTACAGATTGAGTATTTTGTCAGAAAAGTCAACGAGGAAAGGTTGAAGTGATCAATTCGTTCATCACTTTCATATGATGTGATACATATAAGAACTGTAAAAAAAAAATTCAGTCCACTGAGTTTTGTTAAAAAAAAAAAACAGGAACAGCTGAGCCTATTCAGGGCAAAAACTAACTCATCTTAAAGTGGAAAAATTGCTTCCTTTGACTGATACATGAAACAAAGAGTCTATTACAAGGAGTCATGATAATTTTTAGTAATAAACATGGTCAAGTTCTTTCATTTATATTAGCTGGATGACTAGAATCAATTCCATTTAGAGAATCTGAGGTCCAGGTAGGTCAAATTTTGACAATTACCTTGAACTGTTTGACCCCTGAGGGATTCCTCGAATAAAATAATTCCATTTTATGGTGTAATGAACAATGCTATGAATTTGGACTGCTGGATTGTTTTTATTTTTGGAGGGTCATATTTTCCAAAGTTGATAAGATACATATACACTTGGATCAAGCCTCTGTCCTCTCAAACTTTGCCTCAGGAATATGATACCTTCTCTTGAAACCATCACGTGGTATTTAATCCCTATATTATAATAGATACGTATTATAGCACTTTTTGTGATATTTTCAAGTTTTTACATTTTAGTAATGTCTTTTGAAGAGTCAAAGGGAAACAAAATTTTGCAGCACTAGAGTTGTGGTCAGTTTTTCTAGCCCATGTATTTCCCTGCTCATGTTTCCATAGTCACTCGGGTATTTACAAAACAGACATATGCTCTTTTTATCTGAAATAAAAATTAAAAAACAAATTAAACTAAATATATGTCCAGAGAACATGAATGACCCGCAAAGTGTTACATGAAAATTTGTATTAGTGAATGAAGTTTGATGAGAATATCTTGAACAGTTTCTTTAAAATTGAAATCTAAAAAATGGATAACCAAGTTATGTAAAATGCATGTTAACATGAAAATATCATCTTAAATGGCTTCTTTACAACTAAGCAAAGTGCAAGTTGAAAAGTTTTTGATGCAGTTGAGTAGCTCTCACTGTAACGTATCAGCATATTATGTTTGATAAAAATATCTTGAATGGTTTACATATGTTTAAAACTGAGCTAAACACAAATAGAGGTCAAGGTTAAAGAAAAGCTTGAGGTCAAAAATGTTGATGTAGTTGAAAAGCTTACATCAGTATTTGTTAGCATATGAAGTTTGATAAAAATATTAATATCATGAATGATTTATTAAAAACTTAGATAAACACTAATTTTTAAAAGTGAGGTCAAGGCCAAAGGAAAAGTCAAGAACATAAAATATTGGAGTAATTGATAGCTCTCATCTGTATGTATCAGCTTATAATGTTTGATAAAATTATCTTGAATTGTTTCTTCAAAACTGATCTATAAGACACTTATTTAAGAAAAAAGAGGTCAAGGTCAAAAGAAAAGTCAAGTTTAAAAATGTTGATGCTGTAGAAAAGCTAGCATTAGAATGTGTCCGCATATGAAGTTTGATTACAGTAACTTCAATGGTTTCCTTTAAAACTAAGCTAAACAGTATTTTTTTTAATTGAAACTTGCGCACACATTCGCTAAATTTTTATGTTTATTTAAGAAAGGTGAGGTCAAAATCAAAAGAAAGATCAAAGTAAAAAATGTTGATGCAGTTGAAAAGCTTACAACAATATGTTTCAACATATGTAGTTTGATAACACTATCTTAAATGGTATCTTCAAAAATTGAGCTAAAATCTTATTTAAGAAAAGTGAGGTCAAGGTCAAAGGGAAAGTCAAGGTTAAAAATGTTGATGTAGATGAAATTTTACACCAGTTTGTATGAAATATGATATTTGATTACATTATCTTGCATGGTATCTCTAAAAGTGAGCAAAACACTTATTTAAGAAAAGCGTGGTCAAGGTAAAAGGAAAGGACAAAGTCAAAAAATGTTGCAGTTGAATAGCTTACAACATTATGTATCAACGTAAGTTTCATTACCCTTTTTTTGACTGAAATCTTTAAAACTGAGCTAAATACTATATAGGTTAAAAAAGTGAGATCAAGATCAAAAGAAAAGTCAAGGTTCAAGGTTTAAAAAGTTGATGCAGTTTCACAGCTCTCATCAATATCTATCAGCATTTGAAGTTTGATAAAAATATCTTGAATAGTTTTTTTTTTTAAACTGAGCTTTGAACGAAGCTAAATGGAGAGCGCGACGGAAGGACGGAAGATGGTCAAGACAAATATTATATGATCCGGCCATATTCATGGCGGGGCATAATAATAACTTTCTATTCAAAATTAGGTAGATATGTTCCTCAGTCATATATAATTTTCCCTACAATTTATATTTGAAGAATCGTGTGTTTACAAAATGTGTTTGTAAAACATTAATGTCCCTTTATGGCAGCTTATGGTGAAGGTTAGAGAATCTACAATGCAAGGCTAATTCCAAGTTAAAAAGATCAAGGAATACACCTGTGAAATATATGAAAGCCCATTAGCACGAACTGTTCAGAAGCTATGGTCTAGGTTCAAGGTTTAATTTTTTTTCAAAAGTAAGTCAAACTCCAAGCTCATGGTCAAAGGGTAAAGATTAATCATGTCCAAAGGAAAGGTCTTGTCACGAAGAATACACATATAATATAAAAGCCCAAGCACCAACACTTCAAAATGATGATTAAAATTTAAGATTTTCAAAATCAGTCATACATCAAGGTCAAGGGTCAAAATTGCTGGTACACAAGTGAATTACTTGCCACAAGTATTACAAGTGTGAAAAATAAAAACACCATAGAACCAACCTTTCAAAGTGATGGCCAAGGTTACAAGTTTTTCAAAAGTAGATCAACGTAAAAAGGTAAAAATTGTTGTTATTCAAGGGAAGTCAACGTAAATAAATAAAAATTGTTAGTACCCTACTCAAGGGAAGTTCATGTCATAAGAAATCCATCTTTGAAATATGAAAGCCCTAGCAATAAGTGTTCAAAAAGTTATGGCAAAGGTTATCTTTTTCAAATGTAGGTCAACTTCAAAGTCAAAGTGTCGAAATTGTTGATGCCATGCATGGAACACGCACGAAAAACCTAACACCAGCTGTTCAAAAGTGATCTCAAGGGTGCCAGCCAACCTTAATCAGTTATTAACATGGATAGGTGCGGTTTTATCAGATTTCAGCTCACTTCACTTGGGTGAGCTTACATGATACCATCAGCGTCAGCATCCAAGATTCAAGACAGGCATTTGGGGTATGGAGCAACCCCCCTTTCCATTTTTTTTCTTTTTTTATACCCCCCGCTTGAAAAGCGGGAGGGTATATAGTGATCGGGATTTCCGTCCGTCCGTCTGTACGTCCGTCCGTCCGTCCGTCTGTTACGCTTTTTCTCTTATCCGCAACTCCTCTTATACTACTGAGTGAAATTGAATGAAACTTTCACAGAATCTTCATTACATATTGCCATTGTGCACCTCCTATTTTACTTTTTTATTCAACACGTATTTTAGGTTTCCCAGAGCAAAACATGGACATTGCCATTTTTTGTTTACCTATGACGTCACATAATAGAAGCTTCCGGATAACATTTGACGGGACGAGTTATTCCTCTTTACACATTACCGTAAAACAATATAAAGCAACACATCGACATTATGGGAGGCGGGGGGTATCATTTAGTGAGCTCATTGCTCACAGTACCTCTAGTTTAATCTGGGGTCGAGTCACATTTTTCCTATTTTTCTATTCTAATATGCACTATACCGGTATGTTATCAATAATGTAACTCTTTTGTCTCTATAAGCTGCTTTTAATCTCTCTTTATATATGTATCAGTCGAAAACGATATATTTACTAGAGAAAAAAGAGTTACTACCTGAGGATGATTCCATATAAATATCACTAAGCATGGTTTTTGAGTACTTGAGAAAATGATTTTAAAAGATTCCCCTATATAATCCTACGTAAAACTTTGATCGGCCATTTTGGCCCCACCCTTCCCCCCGGGGGTCATGATTTCAACAAATTTGAATCTACACTACCTGCATAATTTCAGCAGAGTATCCTCTTTCCTGTCTCAATGGTTCTTGAGAAGGAGATTTTAAAGATTTTTACCTATATATACCTATGTAAAACTTTGATCGGCCATTTTGGTCCCACCCTACCCCCGGGGGTCATGATTTGAACAAAGTTGAATCTACACTACCTGAGGATGATTCCACTTGAGTTTCATCTTTCCTGGTCCCGTGGTTCCTGAGAAGAAGATTTTATAAATATGCCATTAATTTTTCTCTAATTCATAATTATCTCCCCTTGGAAAAGGGCGTGACCCTTCATTTGAACAAACTTGAAGATACTTCATAGCAAGTTTGGTTGAAATTGGCCCAGTGGTTCTTGAGAAAAAGATAAAAATGTGAAAAAGTTTACAACGACAACGACAACGACCAAGACGACAGATAACGGACAAATTGTGATCAGAAAAGCTCACTTGAACCTTCGGCTCGGGTGAGCTAAAATGGAAAAAAAGGGGGTGGGGGGTTCCAAAACCCAAGTGCTTGTGGATTCGGTAAGCAAAACAGGTTCTAAGTAAACTGTCAATTAAGTTGATGATACAAGACTCTCAACAATGTTGTATAAAGAAATTTTTCATCCATCGATAACATTATTTGCAAGTAAAATGTATCGTATGGTCATATTTTTGTACCAGTTGTAAGTCCATCATTTAAAGAATGATTACTCTAGTTCTGATTGTGGATTACTCCATATAACTGATCAATACAGAGAGCTCACGGCGGATCCATGTGACTGGTCGACAGGGGATACTTACTGTGCATCGGCACCTGATCCCAACCCGTAAATTGTGTTTCAAGGGATCGTTGTTTTTGAATGATTGATTGAGGGTTTTTTCAGTGTTCTCGATTCCTGTGCTTCATCTTTTTTTATGAAATTATTCTGGATTATGTTTGTTATCTTTCTTAAGGTAGTCCGATCCTCAGGTTCTGAAAATCAAGCATTGACTGATTGAAAATGCTCATAAAAATGTCTCTGACTTTTCAAAGTAACGTGTTTTTAACCACAAGAATTCTTCAAACTTCATCTTTCAAGTTTATCATATTATATAGGGAAAATTAGTAAATCTCAAAAATTTTCAGGTATTGCAAATAAAAACACCTGCTATGCATTTTCCAATTCAAGTTTGATCAATTAACACATTTTAAAAATAAAAATCATAGGTATCCAGACTTTTGAAGAAATTCCACAATTTTTACACATATAATGTATTTTAATTTTTTTTATTTACTTAGATCATTTTACAATGCAAAGTGTATAAAGATTCTTCTGATATTGCAAAGCACCACAAATCACTTCTAATTTCATATCATGTTAATAAACATTGGTATCTACGGATAGATTAAAAGGAACATCAATTTCTTGATATCTTTAATTTTAAAATGCTTTTACGGGGTAAAAATTTTGACTTTTTATTAGACCTTTCAAGAACTTCAAAGAACCTTGAAGCCCATTGAGGGGTAAATAATTAAAATTGTTGCATGAAAAGATTGAATTTTCAAGCTTCATTTTGAGACTTTTGAATGAAATTAAAAATTAAAGAGTTGTCCTTCTTTGCTGTGAGGCACGATCGCGTTTATGCGCCAAAAAAAAAATCACAGCATATGATCAACGTAATTTTTTGACATGGTTAATTTTTCAGAGGTAATGAGCATTTTAATATGAAAGCCCTATCTCTTCTCATTCAAAAGTTAATGCCAGTTCAAAGAAATGTTTAAATTTTTGAAAAGTAAGTTAAACTTCAAGTTCAAGATCACGTGTCAAAAATCAAAGTGTTTTTAGAAAGGTCTTGTCACAGGTAATATGCATTTCTAATTTCTAAATACACTTTTATTTTTGACCTCGTGACGCTGACCTTAAAGTTTGACCTATTTTTCAAAAACTTTAATCTTGGTCATGACTTTTAAATGAGAAGAGATAGGGCTCAAATATTAAATCTGTGTATTGTCTGTGATATACAGACCTTAAAGTTTCTAAATACATTAAGATTTTTGATCATGTGACCTTGATTTTGAATTTTGACACACTTTTCAATTATGTTAGCTTTTTCTTATAACTTTTGACTGAGAAGAGATATAGGGCTTTAATATTTGACATGTACATTACCTGTGACAAGATATTTCCGAGCATGCTATGATTTTTGACCCCTTGACCTTGACCTTCACGATTGACCTAATTTAAAAAAATCAACTTCGGGTGATAACTTCTGAAGGACATATGATAGGGCGTTCATATTTGACACATTATGTCATAAAAAAAATGACATCTATATCTCACACACAAAGACGTCAAAAGCGGGAGGACCACAGTTTTTTTTAAAAATTGCATGTTGTTTTTAGGGGCGGTTTCGATCGAATGCTGCACTGATGAGTTATAGATATGTTCTTTTTCTAGGGGATGCTCCGCTTTGCTTAGCTTGTTTTTATGAAAATCTCTGTCGTTCAACTTCCCTAATCAAGCCCCCTGATGGATCTCTTAAACAGCGGCTCCTCCATCAATGGCAACTTATCAGTAATACAATATTAAACTTTTTAAAATTTATATGTGTTTTATGCGCCCGGATCTATAGATTGCGGACGTATAGAATTATTGTTGTTGTCCTGTCTGTCTATTTGTCTGTCTATCTGTTGTCAACTTTTACCATAACTTTTGAACCGTGAGAGAGAGACTTCGTATTTGGTATGCTTACTCCACGAATTCAGCTCTTTCAAATTGGTATGAAAAGTAAGAATCAAGTTTTCACGTTTGGGAAATTATCGAGTTCAGGTTTTTTTTTTTTTGGCTTGTCAAGAAATTTCTGGGTTGAAATTTTTTTTCTGACTAGGTTGGACTTCTCCTGGAAAAAATTCTGGATCCGCGCCTGAGTAGTTCCATGTTTCAAACGCGCGTGTTCTTCGGAACACCCCAATCGTTTGCACAACCTCCACTGATGACAAAAGATCCGAAAACAAGCAGGGAAAACCCACTTCCCTCTTTTTTCAAGGTAAAGTCTTTTGCAATTATAGATACAGGTTGCTTCCGTTGCCAATTTTTCTTACTGTCAGGTGAAAAATTTCAGCATTTGAAAAAAATGTAAATTCCTCACCGCGGATTATAACGGGTTTTCGATTTATATACTCTATAATAAAAAAAAATAAATAAAAGATACAATAAAGTTTGAAGTATTTGTTAATAACCTCGAACTGCATGGCATAAAAATATTATTTGAGCACTAGATGAGTATGAGTGGGGATGAATTTTTTTTTAAGGAATTCGAGCTCGCTTTCAAGAGCTGAATATTGTACGAGGTATATAATTACAATTTTCGGTACGATGTGTCTGGATACACGATGTACAATTATTAGTATAAAACTGTAATTAATTGCTGTAATATGCTCGATCACGCCAGACTGAAAACCCCATAACTATATATGTATGAACTTTCTAAAACAGAAGTGCTAATGCATATATGCTGTAAATCATTAAATTCTACAGTTTCTGATTCAATTTAAACAAAATTAATTTAATATTTCTTGAATTAAATTTTTTTTATAACTGGAAGTGTAAATTGAAACTTGTGAATTAAACAGCCATGATAACACCATTGTCTCCGACTTCCAGGATTTCCTTCTTCTTTGTCAGAACAGTTTATGTGATATTTTGCTACATGTACCAAGACCTACATTTGAAGAAGTCTGACCGAAAATTCTTTGACTAGTCTTGTTAATTTTGCCTCAATGTGTGACCCCTCGATTTTCAGACAAGTTTGGTGAAACTTTTAATTAGCTCTACTGTTTTGTAAATTGTCTTATACTTAGATTCTGGAAGAAAAAATTATTTTGATGGATTTCAAATGTCATTTCCTTTTAGTTTTACGTTAAATGAAATCAGACCTAAATTATCCGAGGAGTAGCATTTTGAAAATCAATAAATTTTCTTTACGGTGTCAACAGTTACTGAAAGTATATTTGTGTAACAAAGAGCAAGAGCCACTTTGGGCCTTAATTGGCCCTGGGAATTTCTGAAAAATCAAAACCGCTCAGTTTAGGTTGCAAATGCAGTATTTATTACTTGGTGAGTGGTGACCACGTATCTATTAATGGTGACGTAATTTTACATCTAGTCAATGCATTATGACGTCATAAAATGCGTCATATTCCTCATATCCTATAAATTCCTTTGAAAATGACCTAAAGTTGAAGCATTTTTTCAATATTTCATATAGAGCACAACCTCTGATCCAAAATATGCAAATACATAATGAAAGCTCTGTTTCTGAAGACCAAAAAACATGTTTTATTTTTTGGATCGTGGGCTGTATTCATATTTTAATTCTTTGCTGAAGGAAGTCAAATACGTATGTTTTCTACAAATTTCAAGAACATTGCAATTTCTCAAACCTGTTTTCCGATATCTGGATTCTCAAAACGAAATTTTATTGTGGAAAATGAAAGCACCAAGTGTCTTCTTTATTTTGATATATGTAATGGAAAAGAGGGCGTTAGTTTATTAATTGATATAAGTACAGGGCCATTTTATGCATAAGATGGCTCCTGCTCTTTACCCGAATATTTAAAATTGCAGTCAGAACTATCACAAAAACAGGCTTTTGAAATAATTCAATGAAGCACAGTTCTAGAAATTGTTCCATGCATTCGATAGCGACTAGGAGTCTCGGTCATAAATTTTGAATGAGATACTTGTAAGATAAGGCTTTCATATATTACATATATGTTACCTGTGACAACATTTTTCTAAATATATTATGAATTTTGGTCCAATGACCTTGAAGTTGTCCTACTTCTCAAAAAATTTAACATCACTTTTAATTTGGTCATAACTCTTGACTGAGAATAGATAGGGCTTTCATATTTTACAAGTACAATTCCTGTGACAGTTTCTTTCAAATCTTACCATGACTTTTGGTCCCCTGACCTTGACCTTAAAGTTTAACTTAGTTTCATTTTTTTTTTCATGGACTATAACTTTTGAATGAGAGAAGATAAAGCATTCATATTTAACTGTGCAACACTTAACTGTAACTAATTGTTTTTGAACATGCTATGATTTTTTATCGAATGACCTTGACCATGAAATTTCACTTAATCTAAAAAAAAACAACCAATTGAAAAACATTGTTTAGACCTTTTGAATGACAGAAGAAAGGGCAAGTGAATTACCTGTGCCAAGAAGTTTCTAAAAGCTATGATATTTAACACCATTTCTTTGACCTTCAAAGTTTGAACTAATTTTCAAAAACTTGATCATATTGCTGCAAACTTTTAAAGGAGAAGACAGAGCATTTGAGATTTGCTCAAAAGGAAAACTTTCACTTCTGAAACGGCAAAGATTCTTTTAGTCATGAACAATATAGGATAAGATGAAATCTGCACCCATTTCACTTTAAGATTCCATGTACTAAAACTTGATTGGAAATCATCAAGTTGTACTAGAGATGAAGTTGAAATGTGACATACATTTCAAAAAGACATAAAAAAATGTGGGAAAGAGTCTCTTTATAAACTCAAGATTACCTATCTTCATATTCATATTCAAATAATTAGGAAGAAATTAACACATTAATGCATGCTCAGGAAAATACATCATTATATTCAGTAGGTTATGATTACATGATATGAAGTATTTGGCAGTCCACATAGGTTAAAAGTGCTTGGATGGTCTGGAATTTAGCATGATAAGGCATTGTGTGGTGTATTTCTTATTTTATGTAAAAAAAAAATGCACATGCTTGCTTTAGCAATTTGTGGTTAAAAGCAGGAAAAAAAAAGATTTTCTTGCATTAACGTACATGTACTTGGTTCTTTTGTATTAATATTTCAGTAAATTCACTGTCCTAAGCTGAATACGTGCCTTTTTTGGTATCCAATTTTTGTTATTAAAATACTCTTAATTTTTTATTTAACCCTATGAAAACAGTTTTCAGTTCTCTAATAAGATTGCAATTGCTCACAATTTGGAAAATGAAGAAATTTTTTCTAAAAATTAATAACTTCTTCCAAATCTCCCTTTTTCAACATAATTGTACCATGCCAATTTAGGAATCAAGGATTTATTTCATCCTATATATTGAGAATCACTAAGTTTTGCAGAAAAAAGCAATCAATTAATTGCATGTGCATAAACTATTGGTTTAGGGAAAGAAGGGGACATAATTTGGATTTTTTTTTTCAAACCTTCATTTTTTGCGAGTGATGTCCCTGAAACAGTTATCACACACGCGGACTGGTTTTTTAGCCAGCGCGAGCCTCGCTTCTTTGGATGAGCAATCGTTACAGAATATATTTCCACAGTTTCTACAGTGATGCTAAAGAATATACAAAAAAGAAGAAACAATTACCAACACTTCAATGAATTTTATATCACAAAATCATTATGCATAGTATAAAATGTAAATCTGTATGTCAAATAACAAACATCATTTTAGATGCTAAACATCATGTCATTTTTTTTTTTTTTAATAAAATTACATCATGACATTTCTATATAAAATTAATAATGACTTTTTTTAATGACACCAGTTTAAAAAAACTAATTCTGGACAACCTGTTACATGAATAATGCAGCTTGGAATGTATTCAGCACCATAAAGATAGATACCGTAAATCTGGAAATTTTTTGCAGTAGATTCGCAAAATTTTGAAACGTAAAAATTAACCAACAGCATTTTGACCGGAATTTGCAAAATAAAATCGACTTCAAAATTTCCAAATTTATGGTAGTTAAACAATATTCCAACAAACATAAACATAGGTAAGAAATTATATAAGATCTCCATTCATTATTTGCTTGAGAAAAAAAAATTCCTAAAATATAGAAACATAAAATTAATGTAAAGTAATTTCTAAGTATCTTGCATCCACAAATCATTCATTTCAAACTAATTTTTCTTAAAAAGTATACCAGCCGTGTTACATGTAATTTCGCATTTTGTCTCCTTGTCCAAAAAATATAATTTTGCATGTTTTTAAAACCTGTAAAGTAAAAATCATGAAATAATAAAAATAGTTCTTATCAAATATATTTGAATAGATATATAAAATGCAAAGATCAGAAATTTAAAATAAAACTATCTTCAGTTCCTTCAATGCTCTACAATGCAATAATACTTAAATGCGATAACAGTATGCGATATTAACATACAATATGCTGCCTATGTATATCATAACATAATTGTGGATATGTAATTATAATTCATATATCCTACGCAAATTTTTACAAAAATAATAAAATTCTAAATTCTAAATCTTAACGGCAATTATTATCATCTTTTGCCAATTTCAATAAAACAATTGTCACACACTCGTACAGGTTTTTTGGACGACACAATTTTGGCCTCTCGTGAAGAACAGTCATTACAAAAAATGTTTCCGCAGTTCCGGCAATGATGCTGAAACCAAAGAATACTAAACATTTAGGTTTTTCTCAAAAATTGTAATTTTACAAAAAGCAGGAACCTCAGCACTGGAATCCTACAAGAAACCTAAAGCAAATTCTTTAAAACAAATTTGTCTCATTATGAAGGCAAAGTGAAAAAATAAAGGAAATTTTGATTAAGCATCAGGAAGGGACAAGGAAAAAGCTTTACATTTACTGCAAGAAATGGGAATTTAAAATGTGGGCATAATACACAATAGTAATAAATTGTGGGGTGGACTTATATGAAGAAATGTGTGTGTGAATGAACAACTGACTTACCCGTCTGACAGTGACAGAGAATCCCTTATTACATCCCATACACTCTTTGACATCGTTGTCATCCGCCCATTTCCTACTGCTCACCTTTGTAGTGGTGATCTATAACACAAAAAAATCAAATGTAAGGTTCTATATCCTTCAAAGCCTCTATTCAGTTTTGTCTCCTTTGCAAGCTAGCTCTTACGTCAAAAAATTTAATGAAAATAAGAAACGTAATCTTTCTTAATAGCAACACTGGTTACATTTTAATAAGAATGAACATACATTATCAGTATACTTTTTTCATGTCTATAGACAAAATTTGCAAAAGCAATGAATAAATTCTCTGGCATGACTTGTCTTAGTCTATAGATGTATTCATTACAATTCAAAAAAACCTGAATCTAAATCTTTCATTTTTCTCTTTCTTATCTTATTTCATTTTCTATACTCTCGTCAAGCAAGAAGCACATGAACTAATGGCTATAAAAGACTATGTTGACAGGAACTAAAATTCTAAGTCTGCAACACTTCCCAGTAAGTATGTTTAACTTTTGATGAGAAGAACAATCTAGAATGGTTTTATGTGCTTTAATATACAGTATTATCTAATGACCAAACTAAACTGGTACCTGTAGAGACTGGTTCTCTCTCCCTAGTTCCTGTAAAGCCGCCTGAGTATCGTCTAGTTTACGTTTCAGATCTGTTGACTTCTGTCTCAATTTTTCACATTCTTCTTCACTTGTTAAACATCTGTATTGTATAAATATTAAATGTGCTGTTAATTAAGGTTCTTGTTTTTTGGGGGGGGGGGGGGGTATTGTTAACGTACCAGACAAAATATACTCTGTTACAAAATGTGTAACTCTACTGCATCCCACATCCCACTATGTTGTTGATATTTAATTAAAATTCACATTCAATCAGGTTAGAATTGAATTAGTTTTCTGTTGCTTTTAATTATTAATTTATCTATTAAATATCATTTCCATTCATTCATCAACAGAATGAGCCTTATGTTTTTAAATCTGCTATAAAGCTTTCTACAGATTTCCCTGCTTCAGAATGTTAGGTAGTGCATGTAGACATCATTTAAAATAAACATGTACGTCAATAATAATGACTTATTATATGATCTATTTTTTATCAACCAGACAGAATGTATACCTGATACATGTAACTCACCTTTCAAGTAAAATTCTTCTTTCATCATTGTTATTTTCTAATTTGGCCTCCATTTCTGCAAAAAATTTAAGTCTAAAGTACCATATTTGTTTTTAATGCATATATTTTCATTGCAATAACTTATCCAACTTCCTCTGTTCTTAAAAATTATCTTTCTTGAGAAATGAGTTATAATTAAGAGGACCACATTTCTCTACTCTGAAATCTGAATTAATAACTGAGCTGAACATTAAGTTAACTTATTAGCCTCAGGGTTATCTCATCTGATTGATCAATCAGTTGACTCACCAAGTTTCTCCCCTATTACGTGTAGATTTTCATTACCAAGTTTTCTCCTCTGAGTTGATTGTTTAATTGATTTACAATGTACCATGTTTCTCCCTCTGAGATATTCAGCGAGTTGACTCAACAAGTTTCTCCCCTATGGGTTATTCATTGAGTTGACTTACAAGGTTTCTCCCCTCTGAGTTAATCATTGAGTTGACCTACTTAGTTTAGCCCTTTGAGTTGATCATTGAGTTAACTAACCAAGTCTCTCCCCTCTGAGTTGATCATTGAGTTAACTTATCTTTTTTTTTTTTCATCTGAGTTGTTCTTAGAGTTTACTTACCAAGTTTCTCTCCCTGACTTGATTTTTGAGTTGACTCACCTAGTTTCTCCTACCAAGTTTTTCTCCTCTGAACTGATCATCGAGTTAACTTACCAAGTTTCTTCCCCCTGAGTTGCTTTTTGAGTCGACTCACCTAGTTTCTCCCCTCTGAGTTGATCGTTGAGTTTGTTCGCCTCGTCGTAAGCTGTCTGAGTGGACACAAGATCTCCTCGTATAGTGGTCAAGTTCTCATTTAGAACTGACATCTGAACTTCGAACTTTGCCCTTTCTTCATCCGCTTGTCTCTGAATGGCCTCACGCTCTTCTTCAGCAGCAGTCTAATGAAAACAGAATGCGGATCAGCATTGAATTGAATACTGTAAACCAACTTTTATTCATGACCCCTTTATTTCGCCTTATACCAGGGGTTAACCAGTTCGCGATGATTAATTTTTGCGATCAAGCCTTTTTTGGATCTGTTATTAATAAAAACAGAGACTTTAAGGCTTGTTTCATGGTGAAAAATATTTGTGATGATGAGAATCTCACGAAACTTGCGAAAATTTCTAATATGCAAATAAAAGTTGGTTTACAGTACTAAATTAATACTGTATACTGATGATAAACCAAATTTTTGCAACACCTTTGTTTGAAAAATAGTTATTTCATATTTATTAGCAAGATACTGTAAAGTCTCATATTTTCAAGGACTATATGAACTTTATGAACTAGCTTGCCACTTTAGAGGAAATAACATGCAGCAATTCAACATTTGTCTGTTGTAAGGAAATGTATTAAGGCACGTAAATATAATTAACTGATCTATTACTATAATCTGATAATTGTTTGAAATAGTTAATACTTTAATAATGATCAACTTGTCCATTTTTGATGTCATATGAATGGCCAACTTTCAGTCAACTAGTACAATGTATGTGGGTGTTGATCATAATTATAGCATAAAATAGTTTTATATATCCTGTTTTATTTTTAGTGATTACAATGTAGAATGCAAAGTCATGCATGTACCTGTACTAACATTAGTCATATAAGGCCTTCTTAGTGAGGGGATGTCTGTGTGTGTGAGGGTAAGGCAGGGGATGTGCGTCTCTGTGTGAGAGGGTAAAGGAGGGGATGTGCGTCTCTGTGTGAGAGGGTAAAGGAGGGGATGTGTGTCTCTGTGTGTGAGGGTAAAGGAGGGGATGTGTGTCTCTGTGTGTTAGGGTAAGGCAGGGGATGTGTGTCTCTGTGTGAGTGAGGGTAAAGGAGGGGATGTGTGTCTCTGTGTGAGTGAGGGTAAAGGAGGGGATGTGTGTCTCTGTGTGTTAGGGTAAGGCAGGGGATGTGTGTCTCTGTGTGAGTGAGGGTAAAGGAGGGGATGTGTGTCTCTGTGTGAGTGAGGGTAAGGCAGGGGATGTGTGTCTCTGTGTGTGAGGGTAAAGGAGGGGATGTGTGTCTCTGTGGGAGTGAGGGTAAGGGAGGGAATGTGTTTCTTTGTGTGTGAGGGTAAAGGAGGGGATGTGTGTCTCTGTGTGAGTGAGGGTAAGGCAGGGGATGTGTGTCTCTGTGTGTGAGGGTAAAGGAGGGGATGTGTGTCTCTGTGTGAGTAAGGGTAAGGGAGGGAATGTGTTTCTTTGTGTGTGAGGGTAAAGGAGGGGATGTGTGTCTCTGTGTGTGAGGGTAAAGGAGGGGATGTGTGTCTCTGTGTGTAAGCTAGGGTAAAGGAGGGGATGTGTGTCTCTGTGTGAGTGAGGGTAAGGGAGGGAATGTGTTTCTTTGTTTTAACAATGTATTCTTTTGATAGAGACTGGTTCTCTTGGTTAGCACAGCACACCTAATATTTCAGAACCTGCATCCTCAGAGATTGCCTAATGTTCATGATACTTTACATAATTTTAAAGTTTGATACAAAGAAGAATACTAGTTTGGTTGTTTTCACCTTTTGAGTCTAAATTTTGCTTTATCAAGCTGTGCTATCTACCCATTAGAGCATTATTTTTGATCCACTCAAATTTAGCTTCTAGGACATAATGTGAAGAAACTAGGGATGTCAACGAGTAACCGGTTAACCGGGTACTCGATCGAACGTCCGAGTATCGAATACTGAAATCGGTACTCAGTTTCTCGGATGTATATTTTTGAATATTTCTAATCTTATTTATTAATGCATTAAACAATCTGTTTTAAAACGTAAAATGCTCAATGCACTTGTACATACAGTAATTAGGGTTTACAACGACTCTAAATGACCGTTATTGCCTGTGGCAGTGTTTATACAGTAATTTTCGTGACCAAGTACCTGGGGTACCTGACTTTTCTCACCTTCGGCTGCCTTCTTCCCTTATTTTTGGTTTGGCTTTAATTATTTGTTTTCACTGAACATCGTTTAAGATCCATTATGTTTAAATAAATGAGATAATTTTGTCAATTCTACGAAAAGTCGTAAATTCTCGGGAAAAAGCGGATGATATTACACGTGCAATTGTTGATATGTTTGTGTTTGATTACATGCCAATACAACTGGTTACAGGCAAAGGCTTTAAAAAAACTGATGTCCATTGTTGCATCAAAGTGCAAAATACCGTCCCATAATACCATATAAATCTCGGATCGAACAAGTGTACTAAAATCGTAAATCCGCGCTGTTAGGAGAACTTGATCAAGTTCAAGTTGATACTGTACGTAGCTCTGACGACTGATACCTGGTCGTCAAATGTGACAAAGAGTTACATTACAATTACAGAGCCGATTATTTCTTTAAACAAAAACACTGTGAACAACTTATGATTTTATTTCTTGTGTTTATCTGATAAATAAATTGAATTCAAAAATTGTTATATTAAATTTCGTCAGGCACGAAGTGCTCATCATTGTTACAACAGAAATACATTTACGGATAAGCCTCCTATCAGAGCATCTAGTTTTATTTCTACAAGAGTTTACAATGTTTTACAGTCTTCAAATTACTTGTTCATATTTATTTACACTTTTACCGAGTACCCGGGTACTTGATCGGAAAAACATCCGAGTAACCGAGTACTGAAAATTGACCGATTTGACATCCCTAGAAGAAACCTATCGAGCAAGACAAAATTTCAGCAATTTTAAATTTAATCTAAATGTAAACAATCTGATGGACACCGAACAGCAGATTGGACTACGAAGAGAAGATACAGTTTAACTTTGGTATCTCTAACATTGCAAGTTGATGTGCAAGATTCTTATTCTCTAAGTATTTCACCCTTGATATCTCAAATCCTCCAATACATGTATCTTGAGGCAATCTCTCAGCCCCATTGCTTATGAGATAACAAGATTTTACTGTATTTTGTGTATCTTTTTTAAGTTTGGTGCAATGAAAATCATTTCGGTATACAAAGTTATACTGTATACCATGTAAGTGGAAATTTTAGCGAGAGGCAAATTTAGCGATTTGTCCTTAAAAATTGATACATTGTAATTAATTTTTAACGAGATGTAATTTTAGCGATTTTAAAAAGCTCATTAAAGCAACTAATACAAATAAAGCGCAATTAAATTTTAGTGGTATTCAATTTTAGCAATCTTGGCACCCTCGCTAATAATGCCAAAATTATATCCTCACTAAATATTCTGCTAATATGGTAGTTCTTTACCAGTTTAGTGTGCAGTTTGGTGCTTTCTTCTCGCAAGGTCTGTTGTGTGTTTCTAGATGCCTCTAATTCCTCTTTTTGTTTAGACTTCACCTAAAATTAATTTTTAAAAAACTTCAATCCAGAAGGGTTCTTGTACACAATTTATTGTCTTGGTCATATTTTATATAAACAGTAATGTAAAAACGTGAATATTTACTGTTTAATACATGTGATAACAAGTTTCTAAAAGACTTAGTTTTAGCAGGATACAAGTTACTGTGCTAAAAATTCACAAAGGCAATTTCTAATATGATTTAGTCACATTTACATCTGACCAGTTTTATTTCAATCAATTTTCAATTTCAATCATCTTTCATTTTTACCTTATATGGTAAAAACACTCCTACCTGTTCTAGTTGTTGGTTAAGATCTTTAATTTGATTGGACAATTCCAGTTTCTGGCTAATAAGGAGATCTTTAGCCTCTTCAAGACTTTTAACTTCCTGATAATGAGATTAAATGGTTAATACATTAAAATTAACCCAGTTATCAATAAAATATGACAAATGAATGTAGGTCATGATGGCCTATTTCACCCTTCATCATTGCAGCTCCTTTGGTGTCTCAAATTAAGACCTAAAATATTGAATTCCAGTCACATATCAAACACACATGCCTTTGTTTTAAAAGATGAAAAATTTATAGTTATCTCCTATTCACATGGAGAGTTTAATTCAATACATGTATATCAAAACTGTTCAGTGCAGTGTCTAGCAGTACATAGGTGATAGGCATTTGTATTATACACAGAAGGTAAGAGGTATATTATCAGTAATTGATTGGTTTAACTTGAGGCCCTGACCTGTTTCCCCTCTGACTTTTACAGTGACTATTATATTATCAGTAATTGATTGGTTTTACTTGAGGCCCTGACCTGTTTCCCCTCTGACTTTTACAGTGACTATTATATTATCAGTAATTGATTGGTTTTACTTGAAGCCCTGACCCGTTTCCTCTCTGACTTTTACAGTGACTATAATATTATCAGTAATTGATTGGTTTTACTTGAGGCCCTGACCTGTTTCCGCTCTGACTTTTACAGTGACTATTATATTATCAGTAATTGATTGGTTTTACTTGAGGCCCTGACCTGTTTCCGCTCTGACTTTTACAGTGACTATTATATTATTGGTACTTGATCAGTTTAACTTGAGGTCCTGACCTGTTTCCTCTCTGACTTTTACAGTGACTATTATATTATTGGTACTTGATCAGTTTAACTTGAGGTCCTGACCTGTTTCCTCTCTGACTTTTACAGTGACTATTATATTATTGGTACTTGATCAGTTTAACTTGAGGTCCTGACCTGTTTCCTCTCTGACTTTTACAGTGACTATTATATTATTGGTACTTGATCAGTTTAACTTGAGGCCCTGACCTGTTTCCGCTCTGACTTTTACAGTGACTATTATATTATTGGTACTTGATCAGTTTAACTTGAGGTCCTGACCTGTTTCCTCTCTGACTTTTACAGTGACTATTATATTATTGGTACTTGATCAGTTTAACTTGAGGCCCTGACCTGTTTCCTCTCTGACTTTTACATTGACTATTATATTATTGGTACTTGATCAGTTTAACTTGAGGCCCTGACCTGTTTCCGCTCTGACTTTTACAGTGACTATTATATTATTGGTACTTGATCAGTTTTACTTGAGGCCCTGACCTGTTTCCTCTCGGACTTTTCTTTATCCAGACTCTTGGTCAGGTTCTCTATATCTTTTTCGTAGGAATCACTGGTGATCTTTGTCTCTCCGTATTTTCTTTCTAATTCCTCCACTTCTGATTCCAAACTTTCCTGAAATTGACAAGCAGCAGCTGACAGTATTAATTGTGAAACACCTTACATAGTACTTTGTGTACTCTGCTCTGCCAAGAACCTATATGTTGTATTATCCACACATCCTTAATATTTGAATACACAAATCTAAATACATGATAAATATATAAAGGTATCTGTCTCTCTACTTGCACTAATTTAATGTTTAAAGAAGAAGGTATGGTTTGGACTTTATTGTGCCCTAAAAATTTTATATTCTTAAAAAATTATGAAATTGGCTTTAGCATGAGTTGAGTGATGAATATGATAATTTAAAATCATTAAAGAATATGGCACGAAAGAGGACTATTCTGGAAATATGACGTCATAAATATGGTGCATTTCTAAGTTTTATGCAAAAAAGCCTCAAAACGATTCATTTCTGAGCTTATTTTCCTTTCACAAATAGTATCTGCAGCCATCGCCCACATCAATTTTTGGATATATTGTGTAAAATGCTTTGAAAATTCACAAATGCATGCACTGTATGTTTTCTGAATGAAAATTCAACTGAAAATTGATGTTTTCTGCAACTTTTAAAGAAAATTACGGTAAATGCACAAGTTCATGACATCACAATTAGCACTTAAGAGGTCATATTGGAAAAACAATTTGCATGTTTTTACTGCATGGAATTTCAATAATTCAGAAAGGATGAAGTTAAGTTTCTTACATCACTTCTAAATTTTAGAAAAATACAGTGTTTTGTATGGAAACCGTACCTTGTTCTTTGACTATGTACCTTTTCTCCTTTGTATTTCTCTGCTTTCTCTTTGAATTCTGACAGTTCTTTGTCTAACTGAACCATCTGTGTATTCATGGCACTCCGAATCTGAATTTAATATAGAAAAAATAATTTTTACATGTAATAGGGGTGAATCATTTACATGTGTATATAAATCCTAATAACCATAAGTTAGCATATACATGTACAAATTTGCATTGCTGCAATATGTACATATCAGTTCCCAATTATGCTCATAATCACATTCCATAGGCATACTGTATTTATCTTTTTAAAACTACTTCTGTAGAATCATTTGAATTTACTTGGGTCACTTTTTCTAAATACATGTACTGTGTGATAGTTTCAAATTTACTGGATTGTAGGAATGTAATATTGTGAGCAAATATCTCTATTTTTTATGAAAGACATTGCAAGTAGATCATAATTCTTGACCATTACATGTATGTGTCTGTCTGAGTAAAAGATCAAAGAAATCCAAAACAAATTAGACCCCCATGTAATTTAATGATTTCCCTCTATTGAACCTTGCTGGGCTTTAAAAACAGACATTTTTTGCAGCTTTCCTTTACTATGCCAAAAGATATTTAAAATGAGTTTGCAGTTCAATTAAATTTTTCCAAAGTGTATTTCAACCTCCATTTATCAAATCCTAAGACATCTCAAAAGTTTTTTTCTCAGTATCATCATTTAAAGATAATGAGATTTGACTTTACTTAATTGCTTTGCCTAAAGTTCGCCTTTTCTATACCTCACTGAGCTCATCAAATGACTGGTTGAGTTCCGTCGTTTTTTCTTTGGAGTCAGTTAGCTCCCTTTGAAGATCTTCCATCTTCCTTTGAAGATCTGTATTTTCTGATTTCAGTCCTTCAGCTTCCTTAACAGATTTCTCTGACTTCTCTTGGAGGTCCTAAAGAGTGAGAAATAATTATAGGATTTTTTATGTTGTTTATCTTGGCTACTGTTTACATGTATATGTATAACACCCTTCCCCGCAGTCAC